AAAAATAAACTTCACCACCCCCCCCCCCCCCCCCAACAAGTTGGGGAGGAGTAAAAAGAAGTTTGATTCATACATTTTTGCAATGTTCGCATAACCCAGAAACAACCCAGGCAAGCTGCTGTAGAGACGAAAGTTAAATTTGCAGTTAATGCCACACGTCTTGGATTGTATGTAGAGTACACTGAAAATAATTTAAAACATTAACGGAGAGGAGGTATGAATTCTGATGGCAGATCCTCATTTGGTGTGTTTGGAGGTCTGTGAGTATTCCCGATTAGCTCTGAGAGGCTGTGAATAGTTAATTATTCAGCACAGAGTTCTGAAGTTCAAAACTCTAAGCACTTTCAGCAACAGATGGTCATGTGAAGCCTCATTACGCAGTCTTTTGCAATGCTGCTCTGGACCTTGTTTGCTCTTCACTGTGAGTGACTTTAAACTTTTCTTTCCCAAGGAAGATATGTCTTTCTAATTCTTGTATGCTAGATCTTTGGTTTAATTCTGTAGGACAATTACAGAAGTTAATTTCTTTGGTTACATTTAAAGTAAAAAAATACTTTGGTACAGCTCCAGAATCTAAATTGCAAGCATATTTTTGGAACCTTTGTGTATTATGTTTGAAATGTATTTTAGTTTTCTGTGAATGTGACTCCATTCAAGCTTTTTAAAAGAATGTTTATAAGAAATTTAAAAGTTCTCATGAGGTAGCGTGTCTCCACAGTGTGTTTTGGCTTTGTTTCTAATGGTGAAATTCTTAATAATAGTATGTTTTCCTTATGAAAATTCTGGTGAGCTGTGGAAAGTTATTTGAATAAAAGGGGATGGTGGACTATATGTTGTAGGACAGGAGAGTCCTGCCTTCAGAATTTACTGTAATGTAAATATATTAAGAGATGTAGAGCATTTTTCTTTTATACCATTTTGGATTTTTTTTTTAAGTGAAATAAGTGAAACCTATTTAGTGATTGCTCTTTGCATTTAAGAATACACTGGCTTATACTCTTGATGGGAAAGGATAGCGAGAAAATAAAACAGGAAACCAGCATATTTTGAGGGGGAAATATGAAAATATATTGTGACTGAAATGTCAAGAAATATTATGACATAGTATTGGTTATACTGCTATTTTATTACTGTATAGAATTAAATAGATTAGAGCTGGTAGGAGTTGTTTGAATTATTTTAATAATCAAAAGAAAAATCTGGGGAGGAAAAGTGTGATTATTCCCTCACCAATCTATCCTATATATTAAACATACTGTCAATGCAATTTGGCTTCGTACTGCATTGGATAGTATTTCTGTTTATACTATTCCAGTAAATCTGTATGGAGAATGCACAAATAGGGTCCTTTGCATAACCCAAAGGAAAAAAAAAAGTAATTAATTTACTTTTTTTAATGTATATTAAAAAAACTTTTTTGTTTTGGGCTTGATGTTTATTGCGCGCTTTTTTTTAATATGATAGATACTTTAGCCAGTTGTATCTTCTGTCACCACTGATTGTATATTTAAAATATTCTCTCATCCCTTCCTTGCACATATCACTTAACACAGTCCAAGTGAAAAGAATTAAGTGTGGTTCATTCCTGTTCTGAGACTTGTTAGTTTGCCAGTATGGAATCATATGTATAAATACCTACTTGACTTTTAATTTTTGTCCATTTATTTCAGAAGAAAATCTAAAGCACCGCCTCCTCCATCTGAAGCAAAACCCAGTGGTGTTTCTCTGTTTGATGACACAGAATCAGCCAACCTCATCATGGAACAGAAAGAGAATGTAATCGATAAAGATATTGAACTGTCAGTGGTCCTGCCAGGAGATGTGATCAAGTATACTACAGTTAACGGGAGGTAAGTTATACTTACTTTTCCTTTCTTGCTCTAGTTTACTTTGACCTACATCCAGGTTTTAGTCACTTAGTAAAATGCATGAGTTGTGTAAGCCTGAACATTGAGTGTGTCCAAAGAAGAGCAACGAAGTTGGTGAAGGGTCTAGAGCACAGGTCCTGCGAGGAGCGGCTGAGGGAACTGGGGTTGTTTAGCATGGAGAAAAGGAGGCTGAGGGGAGACCTTATCACTCTCTGCAACTACCTGAAGGGAGGTTGTAGTGAGATGGGCATCAGTCTCTTCTCCCAAGTAACAAGCGCTAGGACAAGAGGAAATGGCTTCAAGTTGTGCCAGAGGAGGTTTAGACTGGATATTAGGAAAAATTTCTTTACTGAAAGGGTTGTCAGGCATTGGAACAGGCTGCCCAGGGAAGTGGTGGAGTCACCATCCCTGGAGGTTTTGAAAAGACGTGTAGATGTGGCACTGAGGGACATGGTTTAGTGGTGGACTTGGCAGTGTTAGATTAACGGTTGGACTTGATGATCTTAAAGATCTTTTTCAACCTAAATGATTCTATGATTCTACTATGATTTTGGGGTAGCTGTGGAAACATATACTTCATACATTTACCTACCTTTTGGGAAGATTGTTTTCTGAGATTCAGAAATTCTGTATGGCACCTATCAGGATGTGTAGCCATACCTGTTGCTCTTTCTAGTCATTGCAAATCTATAGAAGAATACTGGTTTGTAAGAGTCACTGAATTTTCCCACATAAGTTTTCCTTTTAGACTTAAGATGAGTTCCTGCATCCTATTTGGGTACAAAGTCATATGTTCAGCACTTGCTCAGCACTACTACCTATAGACTACTAGCAGTCCTAAAAAAAGGTGTCATCGCTTCAGACAAAATCTATAATGCTTCAGAGAAATAGTTTCTAGCTACAGCTTTGGACATTTTTTTTTTTTTAACAAATATATTTTCTTAACTGGTTTTAATTTGAAATACATATTTCAGTCTGCTGATTGGTAGTATAGATTGTGCATATAACTTTGAGGTCACCTTTAGTTCAGAAAGACCGGGACATTGACTGGTGACTTGAAATCATAAATCCTGGGACTTAAAATGTTATATTAATTATCATAGACCATCTATGAAGAAGGCTGCTGTGCAAGACCTTGTATGGATCAGAGCAATTAGGATGCCATTTTGTTACTTTTGTAAGCTGAAATAAAGAAACTATCTGTATATTGTGCTCATGTTAGTGCATTGCCAGTGTCTTCACTGCTGAAAGCAAGCAGGCTGATTTATTTAATTTATTCATTTAAACCAGGTAATGTAAATGCATAGTTACAACTACTTCACTTCTTAGTGAGAGATAAAGTCTGGCTCCAGTCTGTTTGCATGCTTTGTCATTTGCTAGCATTCAGGAGGTCGTTGCTTAGACATCAAATACCAGCTTGTTCACCAGAGCTGCAGTGGAACTTTTGTGGATTTCCCCCATGTGATTTTCAGGATAACTTAAATATGAGGTTTTGTTTGTCAGAAGAAGTTTTCTGAAATAATTGGTGGCTACTATGATGCTTTATGGTGTTTGTGCTAGCGTGTTTACAGCAAGGAACATTGCTGTCTGTAAATACGGTGCCTTCCCCTGCTTTTAAAATTTTTTAAAGGTGAGACTCCATGTGTATACTGTCAGGCAATTCTCTTTCTTCTTTTCACTCCCTTTGTCTACACTTGAGTACTGTGTGTCCTCTATCTTGCTTTGATCAGAAGAAAGTGACAGAAAGCAATGTTGCATATATCTTCACTTGGTCAAATTACATTGTGTATAATTACTCAGTGTTCAAGGTAGGGCTCACAGGCTTATCAGGAAGCACACACGTTTCCCCATCAGTTTTATTATCCCACAGTTACTATTTTGTTTTTTTTTTTCCAATGAAGATACTGTATGTGATTAATTTCATAAATGGCTCTCTTGCAAATGAGAACCTATATTAGCACTGCCAAGCTCACTCAGAATGAGGGGAGGTACTGTGCAGGACCTGCAGTCCACTTCCTTCAAACTATCTTCTAGTTTTGCTCTGTCTTGATAGTTGAATTTTGTGGACAAATAGGCAAGATTCCTCTAGAAATGACATAGATAAATCGCTGGTTTGTCTCTTTCCTGTACATAATCAGAGATGAGCAGCTTCAAAGCTCCTGAGGAGAGAATACCTTTTAAAATCTCATACTAGAAAAAGCAAAACTGTGAGTTTGTTCAACTGTGTGCTCAAATGCCATAGTCCACTAGAATAAACTCCTCTACTGTTGTCAGATTAAGTTGGGTTGGTTTGCTCTCTGCTTTGGCATAGTGGATAGCAAGAGCTATGTAGAGCAAAGCAAGATGTTACATACGTAAATATCCTGAGTGAGTAGAAGTAGGCAGAAGAGGATCAGAATGAAATCCAAAAGGGGTTTTAGAGAAAAAGATTACAAGAGAGAATAATTTTTGATCCTTGAGTTGATCTGTGGGCAGCTAAAGCAAAAAAACTGAGAGACTGAGAAAAGGAAGGAGGACTGAAATAGGTAATTTCTCATTCTGAAACTTCAGGCATGGGTGGATTCTCTTATTTAAGCCTAGACACCAATTTCTATTTTGTAGCAGTTGGTGATAGTGATTCAGGTCATCTGTTCAGAATCTGATAGTGACATTCGCACTCTCCTATCACCAGGATTCCTGCAGGGGGGTCGAGGCAAGCAGTTATTTAAAAGCAAACAGGCATAACCCCCCCAAAAAAACATGGTAAGAGCAGTGAGTGATAGGAAGTGAAGGGTACAGTCTTTTGGAGGAAGGAATGAGTGAAGAGCCTGCTTTTTTTGCGCCTGCTTTTTTCTATTTTTTTTTTTAATTGGAATGTTTTTCAGAGTGGAGCTTATGAATCTTCTCCATTGGTTCTAAATATAGCATAGGACAGAAGAATTTTCTGCAGCTGTCCTGGTTTCAGCTGGGATAGACTTAACTGTCTTCCTAGTAGCTGGTACAGTGCTATGTTTTGAGTTCAGTATGAGAAGAATGTTGATAACACCGATGTTTTCAGTTGTTGCTCAGTAGTGTTTAGACTATAGTCAAAGATTTTTCAGCTTCTCATGCCCAGCCAGGGCACCCGACCCAAACTGGCCAACGATGTAT